GCCCCAATCACCTTGCAGCTCACAACGATAATCTGAAGCACGGCAGGGTGCTAGGGTCCATGAGGATAGATCATTGAGTTGTTGTTTCTATTCCTGTCGGTATCCCCCTGAGTAAGTGCTCCAACATGGCAACTGTTGCGATTAGTCCTTACCCCACCCCCTCGTGAAATACCCATCGGTAGCGATGTCACCACACAGATAGGATAGGCAAGCCTAATTGGGATATCATCGTGCTTCCGAGTAGATTAGTATCGAATGCTGGGCTGCAGTTTCACTCATGTTATTCGCCGTACAACACTGTAATCCATAGGTAGCTCTTTGAGCCCCCGCCACCAATCACTATCACCCTATGCCTTACCAGATGTGATATCGTGCTGTCTTCTCCCCCCTATCTTCTAGCGTATTATACAAACAAGGCAGGTATGCTATACAGTTTTCCTATCATCCCCGCATACTGCGAAAATACACCGAAGGAGGGTGTGAGGGCTAGTTAGGCATGTGGGAGGGTACCCGGGTTAAGGATATCAGCGCCTCAATGATCGCCTTCACACGTAGCCCTATTCTTAGAACGCTTATGTACGGGGCCATTTATTTGGGACTTGGCGATATATTGCCTTATATCGACTTAGCTAACAGCCTATATCAACAACCGCCTTCATACCAGCCTCAGTCTACACGGCAGAAGGCTAAGCATACTTCCACAGTCTGCCATGAACCGTTCTACCATGGAGAGAGCAGCTGGCGCTGCTAAAGAAGAGTTGCGAACAGATGTTACTCTAAACAGAGTGGCAGGTTTCGCCAAGAAAGTACCCGGGGAGTTACCATCAGGTACTAAACAGTATCTCCTCGACAAGCTCCCAATTATTCAGTGGCTACCCCGATATTCTCCATCATGGCTTGTTCAGGATTTCATGGCTGGTCTCACGATCGGAGTCCTGCTTATTCCTCAGGGCCTGGCGTACGCTAAGATAGCGACTATTCCAATCGAGAATGGGCTGTACTCTAGTTGGGTCCCGGCTGCGGTGGCCGTGTTCATGGGGACTTCGAAGGGTGAGCTCTCCATGTGATAAGACGCTATGGGAAATCCTGTATTGATCGAAAAACAGAATTGTCAACTGGACCGACATCGATTTTAGGCCTATTAACCGCAGAAATCATTGCCGACCTTCAGAACGAATATACCCCTGCGAATATCGCGGCAGCCGTCGCTATGATGGTGGGCATATATTCTCTCGTTATAGGGCTGCTTGGGCTTGGTTTCCTCCTCGACTACGTTTCTATTCCCGTCCTTACTGGTTTTATCTCAGCTACTGCGTTAACCATTGGAATGGGCCAAGTCGCGTCTCTCGTCGGTCTTGACGGTGGGCCTGATGGTGTCTTTAATCAACTTGGTGATGCGCTCAAGCGTCTCCCGCAGTGGGACGGACCGACTTGCGGAGTGGGCATTGGGACGATTTTAATCCTCATACTTCTCCAGAAAATAGGAAGGAAATGGGGCAACAAACACTTCACGATCAAGTACATCTCAAGCAGCAGGGCAATTATTGTCCTCGTAATATTCACCCTCATCTCCTATCTCGTCAACAAAGACCGTGATGACCCAGTCTGGGCTATCAGCAAAGTCGACACCAATGGGATAGTCCCTCCAACAGTACCAGATGGAACTCTACTGTCCAAGGTCGCCGCTCGCGCCATTGCTCCCTTAGTCGCTTCTACCCTCGAGCATCTAGCTGTTGGAAAAGCCTTCGGTCGGCGAAATCATTACACTATTGACCAGACTCAGGAGTTTAACTACCTCGGCGTTACAAATATCGTCAACTCCTTCTTCGGTGCGATGCCTGTGGGCGGAGCCATGTCTCGAACGGCCGTCAACTCAGAATGTAACGTTAGGAGTCCCCTGAACGGAGTTGTCACTGCAGGGTTCATCATCTTGACGCTATACGCGTTCTCCCCGGCATTATACTGGCTCCCCAAGTCCACGCTCGCAGCTATTATCGTAAGTGCCCCCTACCGGACCCTACTAATGAAACTAAGCTACGACTAACCATTCGTAGATCATGGCCGTCATACATCTCTTCGGCCCGCTTTCCCTATTCTGGCGCTATTGGCGTATCTCGCTCGCCGACTTCATCGCATTGATGGTCGCATTCTGGGTCACCATCTTCGTCTCGGCGGAAATCGGCATCGGCGCGGCCGCAGGCTGGAGCGTGGCGTGGACATTACTGCGATCCGCATTCGTGAATCCGACGATCAGCACGGACAAGACGGTGACGACGGGCTCGGCGCCGCTCGGGCGCGGCGTCGCGCGCAGCGAGACGCGGACGGAGAACGCTGGGACGTCGATCCCGGAGGACACGGCGGTGGTGCGGTTCAACGACGCTCTGTTCTTCCCGAACGCGAATAGGAACAAGGTGCGGGCGCTCGAGGCCATCCAGCTGGTGTACCCGTCGGTGGGCAACGCGCACTACAGCGCGGACAGCGAGCGGTCGTGGAGCGTGGCGGGCGAGCGGCGCCTGCGGCGCCTGCGCGCGCGCCGCAGCATCGCCGTCAAGGAGATGCCCCTCGCCGTCGTCGTCTGGGACTTCGCCATGGTCCCCTTCGTCGACGTCACCGGCATCACCGCCCTCGCCGAGCTCAAGGACGACATCCGCCGGCAGCTCGGCCGCGCCGTCCAGATCCGCGTCATCGGCATGACCCCCGCCGTCCGTCGCCGCTTCGCCCGTGCCAGCTGGAAGCTGGCGGATGTCGACGGCCCGCAGGACGATGGTGCCGATGTCGTGTATCCGTCGCTCGAGAGGGCTGTTTGGGATGAGCGGGATCATGATAGTTTGAAGGGGATTACCACGGAGAAGGCTTGAGATGCTCGGAAATGGTGCGAGTACCTTGGTGTGAGTTGGTGGGCGTTTTCCGTTGAATGATTGGTAGTCTGATTATAGGTATCATTGTGCCTAACTCTTTGGAATATCGATGGGGTGTGGGCACGAGTCTACGCTACAGAATCCTGTTGTCGATCATCACAAGACGCTCTGCTTCAGGGCGGACAGCGTAGGATCGGTCGAACATGAACACATTCCTTTAAAACACACTATCAGATGATCTAACGCGGTATTCACTATGATGACCCCAGAAGAATTGCCTAAAAAGTATAATTACTATGTAAAGTCCTCATAGTAAGTACCTAGCTCAGTGAAAGGAGCACCAATGAGGTGAATCGCAGAATATCGCGTATTTTACCAGAGCAGAGGCGGGCGCGTTCAAGTGGATACTGAATCTCATGCGAAAGCATCTTTCAGGCCTGAAACTTTGAGCCTATGGCTTGTAGGAAGCGTAGCTTAGGAAACAACCCAATCTTCCTGCCCGTCACCCTGAATCTCGTCGTCCTTAGTCATGATATCTTTTTCAGCCTCCACAAAGTCATTACCGGTAGTTCCGAGGTCCGCCTGCTGGTATCCTATGGGTTCGGGGCCGTGAATCATATGGCCCGGTGTCGTCGTCTCCGGATTCGGAAGGCCACTAGTTGAGGACTTGGCGCTAGACTGGCCGAAGAGGGAGCACTTGGCCTTCAGCCAGTCCCAACGTATGTGAAGGAGCCTAGGGATGGGAAAGCCCATCTTCGGCTAGTTTGTTGAAGTTGACCTAGGGATATGTTGGTCAGTAGAATAATACGCGATACAACAAGAGATTAGGCAAGCAAGGACACCTAGTACAATGGCAATTCATATCGAAGATAAAGCAGAATGAACAATGCGGATCGGGCATGCGTGCTGACCCTTCTGCGCCGTTTTGACTTTCGCCGATTCTTACCGTTAATGTGTTTCTAGCCTTCTTCGTATTCTGTTTCGTTATTAGACTTTTTATCGCTTTACATTTGACTACAGAGGCTACCCGGGCTCGTCAGTCCACCTCAATATGCAATTGATACTACTTCCATTCACTCATTCTGTCAACATTAACTTGTAGCACAACGTCTCGAGGATCTTCCTCTACCCCTTTAGTACACTGAGAACATGTCAATTCGCATAGGATACCTTGTCTCTCCCTCGGCCACGAGGCAGGAACCGCCGGGGGTGGCTAGCGATCCAAGCCTCGTCTCTGCTATTTAAGTAGTCGACTAGGAGTTGATCTTCACAATACAATCTCCTGTTGTTGTCTACCAGAACTTCGTCTCCTCGCCCGTATGTTTGACTATGCATTTGGGGTTCATTGCGAGACGACGTGCTGGTTAATTCTCTCCGACCCGAGTTACACATCTGTGTCCATAATCGGCACCCTCTGGTGCGAGAAAGGCCTGTAAGAATGGCAACAGGGTACCAAGTGCAATATCAAGAGATCTCGTACTCGTCACAAGACGTTTTCGGAGACGTTCTCTGGTGCTTCAAGAAGCGGTGATGATAAATGGTAACTGTAGAAAGTTCAAGAGCTCTATGGAAAATTGATCATGGATACATCTCAACTCATTTCTCCAGGTCGATGTGGCACAGCCAGGTTTGCCGGTAAACTTGCTCTGAGCTCGCCAGTGCCAATCGAAACCAAAACCAAAACTACCGTTGACGCCTTTGTCTTCATCTTCAGAGATATGCCTAGAGCTAGACACCGCTTCAGGGGTGAAATCTCCTTACGGCATCGCCATAGCTCCGGGACACATTCTTGGGCCGAGGGGTGGGGGCCGATAATTGGGCATTAGCGAACCAGAATGGATGCTGTATTGGGCGAGGAGCTCTCTCGCTAGCTGGGGCGTGACTAGAAATCTAAGAATTGGTGCAAAGGACTGAGTACTGGTTTTCTAATATCTATGGTTGCGTTTCGTGGCCCGCGGCAGTGCTTGGATAAATCGATCTAATCGCAACCAATACGATATCGAATATCGGCATCAGATTGGCCGATATCCATGTTGGCTAATACCGACCAATATATTATATCTAAAATAAATGCGTAATAAAAGAGTTTAATGATATAAAAAGATGATAGTTATGAAAAAAAGCAAAGTGTCAGAAGAGATATGACCGAGGCAGGGGTCGAACCTGCAGCCTCCTGATTCGTCTAGGACATTATTAGTTATATTCCCGTAGCGCGGTTGAACGGGAATTACTTACAGTCAGACGCGCTGCCATTACGCCACACGGCCTATGACCTCATGGTTGCAAGCCGAGCTGTAAAGGGTACATGTATTAATAGTCGTTTGCGAATCCGGCAAGGCTCGGTCGCCGAGCTATTGAGTGTCCGTTAAAGCAAGCGTCCTCCACTTATTTTCGTTCCCCCAATTCTGCTTCCCTTCCTCAGGCCGTTCTATTTTTTTCTACCTCAGACTTATCAGCCGTCCTCTCTTTTAAACGCATCTTCCCTTCAACCTGGCGACCTAGCGACTGAGGTGTCCCGTAAGCAAGAACTTTATCTACACCCCCGAGCGTGCTACAACTTGCGCCTCCGTAGCCGTAACGCTGGCTTACGGAGCTCGTCAACCGTTTGTTACTGCGCAAAGTGTGGCGCCAAGCTGATCACAATACCAAACCAGCTAAACGCAGCACAGGGCGCCAACGACAGCTTGATGCTCATATAAAATGCTCAACATACTAATTAAGGTATTATGGTTCATGTTCTATTTTCTTTTAAACGTTCGATAGTAGGTAGAATCCGTTACAAGAGCTCTACCCATTCTGGCAGATATAGCCACAGGATTATATAGGTAGGTACTATTTTTGGATGGATGATCTCCATGTCTTGTTGGATAGCATAATGACATGCTTCTCGCGCTTTGGTGCCATGTTGAAAGTGTCAGTATGGTGGTCTATGTGGGTGACAACTGGACACTTTTATTGGAATATCTGGTGGCTGGTATGTGAATATACAGGTGGCTGGAGGACGCCCCACACCAGTGGCTATATAGGAGGATATCCCCTCCTACCTGTGATACTTTACCTCTCTAACTATCATCAATACAACTGATGTACACACTCATAACCTGCGTATCTATTTCAATAACTTTGTAAGGCATAGCCTGGTAGTGCTTATGCCCCCAAGAACAGATGTAGAAAATGGTATTTTCGAAGAGTTGGGCACTCATAAGACTCAGCTTAAAGTGTGATGGCTATTAAGAAAGAATGGCATGCTGATTTGAAAACTAGTCCATCAGGTACCTACATCTACATTGGTCATTGGTGAGCGGGCCCGTTTATTTGACTACAGGGATTGATAAAGGTGATTTTTCCGAGCTATTGGTAGTTCATTCGTATCTCAGTGGTAGATGACAAAACAGTGGTCGATGGTAATTAAGCATATGCGCTCGTTTGAAAAGCAAGAGTTGCCAATCTTAAACAGGAGTACCTGTTGAGTATTTGGCCTTATTATGTTAGGTGGTCCGGAGGATAACATTGATGTCGATGGATCACCCTAAACATAAGTTGTATATCCTCGTGTACCCATAAAAAACAATGAAATTGATCTATGGCAACGTGATCTGTAAATAGGGGTTCTGACCCAAGGCGGCTGGGTGGGTTCAGCTTTTTAACTCAATGATGAAACTAGCCATATGAGTTATCTATTATGCTATTGCTGTATTAGAATGGCCATAATTCTACAATTAGGGTGAAAAGGTTAAGACTCCGCTAGTTGAGCTAGAAGAATCAGGTTATCACGAAAGAGGTGGTTTATATATATATATATATATATATATTGACAAGCCGCGTAATTTCACTCCAAGAGCTAAAGGAAACACCATTGAATATATTAAATAGGGATGGCTATGGCTACATTTGTCATTTTCATGTTTACACAACACGGTAAATTGCTGCGAGAGTACAAATATAATGATGCATGAGCACGATATGGCCTAATGGGCATTGTTGAATATAGCTATGAAACCTATATAATGACCATTGGGAAAACGGTTCAGGTAACTTAGGCTGAAAGCTACCTATTGAATCTCTGACGTTTGAAAAATGCAACTATTCTAAAGTTGTTTACTAGGATCCGAAGGCCATAATCCCATAGCTTGAAAGAAATAAAGTCTCACAGCTTATTAAACAATCACTCCACGAAACACTTGATTTAATAGATATATAGAGACAATAACACGACTTGGCCTCACAAAATCACCTTAGCTATTAACTTATCATGTTGGATCTTCCAAGTTTCACATTGATTGTGGCCGGCGTCCGGCTGGTTGGGAGTCAGGGCTGGTGATTGTATGAAGTAATTACTTGGCTTGCTATGTACATTGGGTAGGACTTGACAAAGAAATGCATTGCCTTCGACAATGTGAAACAGTTTTACTATAACAAGAAAACCATGTCTATAGTGTTCTATTCCATCATTATTGTCAAATGCTGCCTGTTTGCAGGTACTAAGTTAGGAGGTACCTGCAAGTACAGTAGGTATATCAATGTACCTAGGGAGAAGCGTGCAGTAACACAAAACCAACTTGCGGATGCACTATATGAAAGGAACGCATTTGTGCAAACAATCAGGGCGAGAAGATTAAGCATTGTTCTATTTGTGTAGAAGGAGCCAAATACTATGAAGCGGAGTACCTAGAACTGAGTACCTAGAACTGAGTTGTGGAGAGCCAGTCGGCGAGACTTAATGCTCAATAAGCCGCTTGTCAATCACAGCCTAAAACAAAAAGCACCTTGGCGCAGCGGAAGCGCGCCGGGCTCATAACCCGGAGGTCGCTCGATCGAAACGAGCAGGTGCTAGGCTTACATTTTTTCATGTATCTTCTAAACTTCACCCCGAAACCCTGCATTTACTTTTTCCTGCTTCTACACTAAAACCATTAGTTGCACTGCGCGTGACGTTTGGCGTTTGTGATGGAATGCAGGAACCTTGAACCTAGGTACTTGCATTAATCATTTATGGAGGCATGGTGTGCACGTGACAAGGTAAACAATTCATTCATTGGGAAAGGTCTGAACAGCCTCACAAAAAACAGTGAAGACCTTTACCTAAGTTAAAATGCGGTTCATCTGTAACTCTATTTTCGCGCTAAAAAAATTTAGGCCCTATGATTGGCCCTATAAGTGTTAGCCTTTTATCTATTGGCCAGAGATATCGAACTTACCTAGCCACAGATACTTTTTTACTTACCTGTTGTGTAACCTGAATAGTGGCGCCCATACAAATCTGACGTGGCGCCATACAAATTTATTACCCCCCCCCCCCCCCCCCCCCTTTCCATATAAATCAGTAGCGTAACGCTCTGATTTTCAGCATATCAAGTTGGGCACTGGACGCCAAGTTCAGACCTTTCCCAACTTAGCTTTGTGCCTCAAAGCTACCGGGCATTTTTATTTAGACTCTTGGTTCAATCTAACTTGCACTAACAACATCTCGATACTGACTCATTTTCCAGCAAATCTTAGAGCAATGTGCGGCATCCACGCAGTCATTTCTACGGGACAAATACCAAATATATCTTCCGAGCTTAAACAACACCTACAGAATCGTGGGCCTGACCATTTTGGCCAACTCTACCGTACGATATCTGCCGCAAATGCAACTGCAAACCCGGCATTTAATCTCTGTTTCACCTCTACAGTGTTGGCCTTACGAGGTGACCATATTGCCAAACAGCCGCTAGAATCACCTGCTACTGATTCTGTATTATGCTGGAACGGTGAAGCCTGGAGAATCAACGCTCAGCCTGTCAGCAACAACGATGGAGAGGCTATCTTAGCTAAGCTCACAGCGAATGATGCATCTTCAGTTGAGGCTCGAGAATCGCATATATTAAATACCTTACGAAGCATTGATGGTCCCTTCGCCTTTCTATTCTATAATTTCGAGAGCAAGTCCATCTTTTTTGGCCGTGACCGTCTGGGACGACGGTCACTGCTCTCAAAGGAGGCAGATGATGGTAGCTCCATATCGTTTTCAAGCGTCGCCGATGTGCCTAATTCCGGTTGGAAAGAAGTTGAGGCGGATGGTATCTATTCTCTCAGGCTTGATTCCCAATGCACTATGTCTAGTCGACTTATGAAGCACGACTGGTTGCTTTCTAACGATGATAACGTGGTAAGTTATTCGGCTTCGGTAAAGTAGGCGTGCATATGTTATTGCCTTCGCTATAAAGCTTATATCTACAGGTTTCGAGTACCGGCAAATTCAATATGATGTTGCCAACCGAACAACACAAACTAGATTTCACCTCGCCATCAGTCAACATTCTCAGGCATTGGCTGTCAGAATCTCTCAAGCTGAGGATATTGAACATTCCAGAGCCACCCAACCCATCATCCGACATCGATATTCGCCTCGCAATTCTCTTCTCTGGTGGCCTTGACTGTACCGTGCTTGCGAGATTGGCCCACGATTTTCTCCCGTTAACTCAAGGGATGGATCTGATCAATGTTGCTTTCGAAAATCCGCGCCAAGTCTCTATAGATAAGTCTCAACCATCTCGACAGCAAGCCCCAGACGTCTACGAATCTTGTCCGGATAGAGTTACTGGTCGCAAGGCTTTCGCTGAACTCAAAACTACCTGTCCAGGACGATATTGGCGTTTTATAGCGGTGCGTTCTCGGGTCACACGGGTGAATCATGGATACTTCACTAACGAACACCAATAGGTCAACGTACCATTCCAAGAAGCTATGAGCCACAAATCAAGAGTGATTTCTCTTTTATATCCCCACAACACAGAGATGGATCTTTCCATCGGCTTTGCACTTTATTTTGCTTCGCGGGGTACTGGCCATTGCTACGTAGACAAGACCGAGTGGGAGCCGTCTTCCCCAAGCATATCCTCGCCAGCGCGGGTGCTCCTGTCTGGTCTTGGTGCAGACGAACTCTTTGGCGGCTACTCGCGGCATGAAGCAGCATTTAAGGGCGGTGGGTACCGCCGTCTTGTTGATGAGCTGAAGCTGGAGGTCAGTCGTATTGGGCAACGGAATCTTGGCCGAGATGATCGCATCATGGAAAATTGGGGCAAGGAGGTACGCTTCCCCTACCTAGACGAGGATGTCGTCCGTTATGCTATCAGTTCTCCCGTATGGGAGAAATGTGACTTCCAAAACCAATTCCATCCTGCCGGCATTGTCCCTGCCAAAAGAGTCTTGAGGCTGCTGGCTGATACACTTGGTCTTTCGCAAATTGCACGGGAGAAGAAGAAGGCGGTAAGACTAATGCCCG